CATCATTTTTTTGTGATAACTATTCTTGCAGGTATATAGTAATAGTTCATTTTGATTTTAATTTGCATCTCCTTCATGATTAGCAATGGTGAGTATTACACTTCCTGGTCATTTATTTATATATCTTTTTTCTTTTAAAAAACATCTATTACATTCCTTTTGCCATTTTAAATTCAGATTATTTATTGTCTTACTCTGTTAGTTCCTTACAATTGTAATTTGATAGCATTGTAATATTCTCCTTTTCCACAAGTTATTTTTACTCTTGATTATTTTCTCTGCTATACCAATACAATCAATTTTGTGTGCTGAGCTTATAATTTTTATTGTTTGGTGTTGAATCAACTTAGCATGATAGATAAATATCACTAGCTCATGCCATATTCTTTCTTTAAAAGTCAAGTTTTGTCAAGGAAACAATGGCCTCACTTCTAGTGGAGATATGTTGAAATTGTTTTTATTATTCATTAAGTATTTTGTAGAATTCTCTAGTAAAGCCATCTGGGCTTGGGGCAATACGGGTAAGAAGGTTTTTAACTACAAATAACATTTAAGAGAATTAGAGAAATTTGGGTCATCTATGTCTACTTCCTTTTTTTCTTTTTCTTTTCTTTTTCAGAAATAAGCATCTTACTATATTGCTCAGACTGGTCCCAAACTCCTGAGCCCAAGCAATGCTCCTATCTCAGTCTCCTAAGTAGATAGGACTAAGCACATGCCACTGAGACAAATAGCTACTTCCTCTTGAGTAACATTTGGGATTTTGTGTCTTTCAAATATATTTTTTTCACTTCATCCAAATAGTCTTATTTAAATGCTTATAGATGTTCATAATATCGCTCTGGTTGTCCTATTAATATCTGAAAATTTGTCATTTTTATCATCCTTCTGAGTCAGGGTACTGGAAATTTCATTTTCTCTACCTGTTTTAATCAGTCTGACTACAGATTTATCAATTTTATCTCTCTTGTCAAAGAACCAGGTTTTGTTTCATTAATTCTCCTTTGATTTCTCCTTTGATTTTTAATATTTCCTTCTTTCTGCTTCTTAGTATTTCAATTTGGTCTTTTTTCAAGCTTCATAAAATAGAAGCTGGGGTCATCAATTTGAGATTTTTTTTTCCTCATACATATATTTTGTTCTATTAAATTTACCTAAGTAGCAATTTATTTAGCACTCAATCTGATGCACTGTATTTTCATTTCCATTCATTTCAAACATTGTCTAATTTCTCTTTTATTTCTTCCTTACAGTAGGCTATTTAGGATTGGGTACATTGGGGAAGTCTGTCCTCCCACCAGATTTCTGTGTTCTCTATGTAGTCCTCTCCATTCCAATACAATGTCCTCTGCAATTTGGCTGCTTTAGTCTTCTTGGTCCTTAGGTTCTGTCTTCTCATCTCAAATAATTCACTGAATTTTGCCTCAGTTACATCGTCTGTTACAACCTAGTTATTCTTTCAGTACAGGAATCTGATATGAACACAGAATTCCTTGTTTGTTTCCATATCTCAGGGATCATTATTCTTGGTTGTGTGATAGCCAGTATCTTAAAAACCTGTTCCCTACATTTTGTCCATTTGGGGAGTTGTTTAAGTGAAGAGAGTAAATCTGGACTCTGTTGTTACAGCTTGGTTGAAATAAGTCTACTTTTATTTTGCATGTATCATTGTAAGCTCATGGTTTTGAGAGAATTATTCTTTGATCTCTTGCAGCCAATTTTCCTTTAGGATGCTTAAAGATCCGAACTGAAGCCAGCGGAAGTCATTTCATTTAGCTTTTGAGTCCTTGACTTGTTCCCTCTAGTCTCTTTAGTAGCAAATCGTATTTAGGCACAAAAGTTTGAACATGAGGGGTTATCTGTATATTTCCACTTGCTGAATTTGCTGTGAAAAGTAGGAGCAAGGGGGAGGGATTTTACATTTATAAGCAGATAGAATGCAGTAGAAATATTCACCAGTGTTGAAAAAGAATCAGTTCTGCTATATATCAGTCATTTTACACTATTAACTAGTAAAGAGAAACTTTAAAAATGCTTATCCAAAACATGGAGTCCTAAATTTCTAAAAGCAGTCTGGTATCTGACTTTATGTTTTAACTTGCATTCATCTTGTCATGGCAATTTCTAGGCTCCTAGCTACATAGTCACAGATATTCAGAAAGATTCCCTACCCTAACACTGTTTGATATTAGCAAAATGTACCTAATACTGGGTGTGAGTCAACAATATGTATCAAATGAAAACCTAGTATGTTCTGAAAAAGCCAAGTTAAATCAAAAGTACACTGTATCAGGATATTAATTTTGTCCATCTATTCACAATCTTATGTCATTTGGCCCTTGGTTTTAGAAAATAAGAAGATATAAGACAAAGTTTTCCACTCTAATTTAATAAAGATGTTTTACATTTCTTAGTTTCAATGACAGCTCTTATAGTCCCTTCAAGGCCAATGATTCCTCAATCCATAGAATCAAAATCATATTAATTGAAGTCAGGCCCAAAGAAACATAGGTCCCATGGTTTCCCATATTTGCAATAACTAGTATATGTCTAGGACAAGCAGAAAAGTTCAAAAGCTTTGTACATATGAACATATAAGATGATGCTAAGCGAAATGAACCCCAAGATAGGGACACAAGAAGTTTTATCTTTGTTGCTGTTGCTTTTAATGTACTTATAGTGTACCGTGTAAATTTTTTTGTTTCTTTTATATGTTCCTCCCCCATGGTACACAATCCATGTTTTCACTGTATTTGATTCCAGTTCCCTGCATTTTGTATATACATTTTTCTAATTTCAGAAGGGGATAGGAAATAACAAAATGCTGAAATAGGATACAGGTTGACCATTGTAACAATGAGATGTATAAGACACCATGTTGAAAATGAACTTTACACCTTGGGGGGGGGGGTAGGATGGAGAAGTTGGGAAGGTGTGGAGGGAAGGGATGGTAGAGGAAAAACAAAGGAGCGGGTAACAATGCTCAATAGGAAGTGTACTCATTACTCATGTAACTGTAACCCCTTTGTACAGTATCTTTACAATAAAAATATATATTAAAAAAGAAACTCTTTAAATAATTTAATATATATATATTGGTTCATAGATGGGGGAACTAATGGCATGAATACCTTATGGCACTTACTTCTCTTTGCAAAATCATAGGAAGCCAGAGTTAGTGAAATCATGTGTTAGAAAAACTTTTTAAATCATGTAACAAGTAAACATATTTAGTGTAATTGTTCTCCATATTCTGTTCATCAAATATCCCTAATCACATATTTAAAATAATAAACTATTAATATAACATTATAATAAACTTAGTAGACATATAATCATTAAAAACTTTTAAAATGATTTTAAATCAAAGTGTTTCAGTTTGTTTGTGTCGCTCGTGGGGCTTGAACTCTGGGCTTATACGCTTTCCCTGTGCTCTTCAGCTCAAGGTGAGAACTCTACTGCTTGAGCCCCAGCACCACTCCATTTTGCTAGTGGAGATAAAGAGTCTCACTTTCCTGCCTGGGTGGCTTTGAACCGATATCCTCAAATATCAGCCTCCTGAGTAGCTAGGATTACAGACATGAGCCACTAGCTCCCGGCTTAGTGCTTTAATCTTACTAAAATCCAAGTTCTACTCTCAGCTTTCAAGAAATAATTTAAATAATTAAAATAAGTTTAGCAAAACATATGCATACTTAGGAATGTCACCTTGCCTTTATTTGAATCCAGGGAACAAATAAGCAGTATTATACCACAAATAAGTTTTTTCATCCAAAGCAAAGACTTTGTTGAAGGAATATATGTCCCTCACAAACTTTGTGTATTAGCTTTCACTAAAAGTCCAGTAGATTCTAACTGTTAAAAGGCCAACAACAATGCTTGCTTATAAAATTCAGAATAACCTATCCAGCAAATTGAACTTTCCAATCTAGACATTTGTAGTAACTACTACTTTGTCACAGAGAGTAATTCCAACTTTTAACTACCACGGTATCATAATTTTTGTTCATGAAAACACTGATCTGTTTTATCGTTAATGAGTATAATTTTGAGTGATCTTAAAAATCTCACGGAGTCATTGCAACACTTATAGCACAATCTGTTCATGAAACAAGTCTACTCTACACTATAAACAGTATCATAGTACTAGAAACATACTCATCTACCAAGATGTTAAGGCCACAGATATGAAAATGAATTTTAAAAAATTATGATTAAAATGTTCTGATAGAGCAATAAACAGAATAACAAAATGCAATGAAATCTGATCAGTCATTTAAGACAAAGTAAACCACAGCCTTCTTTCAGAAATACTAGACTAGATTAGTGACTTGACTTTTTAAGACTCAAGATTTGCACTGATTTTCTAGCAATGTAGATAGTGTGGAGTCTAATAATAAATTTACTTTGCACTTACTCTGGCCTTAATACATAATCCAACATCTGACATATATTCTCACATAATACCCTGAGAAGGCATGGCACTGCATTCTATTTCAGAAAAGAAGTTTAGTATTATGTTTTCAAACTGGCTTTAATTTTTCAAACACCAGCACACCATTCCATAATGATCTTATAATTCCTTGCACAAGAGCATTTAACAATTATAGAAATCTGGGCATAGTAAACACATGCATGTAACCCCACAAATCAGGAAGCTGAAATCATTTGAACCCACATGTTCAAGACCATCCTGAGCAATATTACAAGAACCAGTCTTTTTTTTTTTAAGGGGCTGGGAATGTGGCCTACTGGTATAGTGCTTGCCTAGCATGCATGAAGACCTGGGTTTGATTCCTCAGTACCAGATAAACAGAATAAGCAAGAAGTAGCACTGTGGCTCAAGTGGTAGAGTGCTAACCTTGAACTAAAGAAACTCAGGGACAGTTCCCTGAGTTTAAGTCCCAGGACTGGCAAAAAAAAAAAAAAGGAGTAACACTATAGTCCATCACCCAAATGATATTCAAAAATACTAAGATATAGCTGGCCATGGTACATACCTTGGTTAGGTGAATGACTCCTTTAGAGGTGACTGAACAACCCATGAAGCCAACATACTGAAGTTCAGGACAATGCTCAGCAAATGCTTTTACTGACTGATCTGTCACCTAGGGAAGAGACATAAAGGAAGTTATTCAGGGTGGCAGTACAGTAGACTCCATTACCTGGTTCCTATAAATTATCTGTTTTACCTTGCATCATCACTATTTTTCTTTCCGATGGATCATTTGAATGAGCATCTCCTATGTTGGAAAAAAATCCTCTCTTAACTCCACACCCACTTGTATCTTTATCCCATGTTTTCATACTTCTCCATAAAAAAAAAAACTCAGTCATTATATTGGCACTACTAGCTACTTCCACTTCTTCCCCTGCTATGTCCCTTATTGCCCCCATTCCTCTCCCTTCTTTCTCTCTTCATTTTTTTATATTCATATTTCACAAACAATGAAATTCACCCTCTCTAGGAGGCAATTAAGTGCCTTGTAATATATTCAAAGAGTTATACAGTAGCACCAATTCCTAATATACCTAATTCTAGAGTATGTTTGTCACTCCAGAAAGAAAACTTATGCTATTAACACTCGTTCCTCTTGGTACCATTCTGTCTCTATGAATTTACCTTTTCTGGACACTATTATAAATGAGATCATACAATTTGTGACCTGTGTGTCTGCTTTCTGTTACTTAGCATGTTTTCAAGGCTCATCCATGATGTAGCATGAGTCAGTACTTTGTTGTTTCCATTGCTAAATAATATAAGTATACCACATCGTTATGGGATGAAGTGTGTACTCACCAAGTTTATTTTGAGAGACTAACCATTGGTACCTCTAAGTTTAACATTACTTGGATATAAGGCTGTTACAGAGGTAAATTAGTACTATTTAAAGTCATATTATATTAGGCTGGTTCCTCCCCAACCCAACCAATCTAGTAAAAAGGGAGACTAGAACACAGATACACAGGTGGTATACCAAATGAAGACTAGAGGTATGCTATTACAATCAAGGAATGACAGATTGTAAAAAAAAAAAAAAAAAAAAAGTGCTCCCCTTGATGTGTCTAGGCATCTCAGTCTTAACATTTTCAAAGAAGTCTTTATAGTCAAGAAAGACTGGAGTTGGGAAGGTGGCTCAGTGGTAGAGTGTTTGCCTTGCATGCATGAGGCCCTGGGCTCGATTCCTCAGCACCACATAAGCAAAAAAGTCCGAAGTGGCACTGTGGCTCAAATGGTAGAGCCCTATCCTTGAGCTGAAGAGCTGAGGGACAGTGCCCAGGCCTAGAGTTCAGATCCCACAACCAACAACAACAACAAAGACTGCTTTTCCTCAGGGTTCCAAGTTTCAATGAATAGCATAACTAGTCACCAGCAATTCAGGTGAAAACTTTTTAAATTCAGAATTCTATCGCGTAGACTTTAAGATGCTAGGTCTTACAAACAGGTCCTAACTGTAGCTACTTCTCACCCCTTCCCCACTGCCACTTTAGTCCACTCTAATATCCTCTCCCACCTATCTATCGAAAAAGTGTCTTAAGTGGCCCCACTGATTTTTAATAGCATTTTCCTAGCTCTATTTGGTGTATGTTACTTGGTATATGTTCCTCTTTTAAAAATGGAGGAAGAAACCATTTTTATGTCAATGGCTCTTAATTTTGCTATGTATCATAGTTAATTTCATATGTCAATTTCTCTATGTCACAAAGTACCCTGGTGTTTGGTTAAATATTATTCTGAGTGTGTCTGTGAAAATAATTCTGGATAAGATTAACATGAATTAGTAGTCTGAGCAAGGCAGATGCCCTTCCCAATGTAGCTAGGTCTCAGGCATCCATTGAAGGTTGAGCAGAATAAAAGTAGTAAGGGTGAATTTGCATGTCTTACTATCCTCCAGCAGGAAAACTTGTCATTTTCTATCTTCAGACAGATTTGCACTATACCACTGGCCCTCCTAGGTCTCCAAATTGCAAACTGCAGATCTTGAGACTTCTCAATTTTTTATTTATTTATTTTTTCTTGCCTGTCATGGGGCTTGAACTCTGGGCCTGGGCGCTGTCCCTCAGCTCTTCAGCTCAAGGCGAGCACTCTTGAGCTACAGCGCCACTTCCTGACTTCTCCATTTTTGTAATCAGAAGTCTAAGTCCCATAATAATCTCTTGATGAAATCAGAATCTCTTAATCCTTTTGTTTCCCTAGAGAATATTGACTAATACATTGTGTACAGTTTTTTTGGAGGAGTTATAACTCAGAACTAAAAGGGATAGAGCCCAAAGATCTATATTTTGAATGATCCCCCCCAAATGACTCTTGCATATAAAAGTTTGAGACTCCAGGGCAGTGAAAATGGCATTACACAGATAATAGCTGGCATTTCTATTGAGTCTGTTACAAATGAAAGGCTGAATGAAATTTCATTTTTGTCTCCCTCATCTGCCAAAAAAACATTTCTATATACAATATACAATATCATTTGGAATTGTGTTAAAATATTCTTCTTGATTTCACAAAGGTGCAGCCTTTTAAAAATAAGTTCTAATACCTTCTATAATATGCTCATTATGCTGAACATTCACTTTATTCAGTCAAATGAAATCAAGTTCAACACTTCTATTTTTCAAACAGCAACTACTTACATTTCTTTTCCTTAAGCTTTAGTATGACTGACTGTTATTTTGTATCTTCTTTATGCTAAGCAGATATGGAAAATAGAAGTGTGAATAGTATTAATTCTAAAACAGTCTCAAGAACATTTTCCTAAAATAATCAAACCAACAGCATTTGTGGTAAGTCTGATAAAAGATTAATTCTCATCTCAAAAGTAAAATACACTTAAGCATATTAAGAATTGGTGCTGTTGATAAATTAAAAATGAGTTTTCGTGGGCTACAAATATGGCTTGGTGGTAGAGTGCTTGCCTAGAATGCATGAAGACCTGGGTTCCAGTCCTCCCTCAGTACCACATAAAAAGAAAAAGCCAGAAGTGGAGCTGTGGCTCAATTGGTAGAGTACTAGCTTTGAGCAAAAGAAGCTGGAGTGGGGGAGGGGGAACGGCTGAGAACTTGGCTCAGTGGTAGAGTACTTGCCTTGCCTGCATGAGGCTCTGGGTTCGATTCCTCAGCACCACATAAACAGGAAAAAAAAATGAAGAAGCAGCAGGTCAGCGTCAGTGTCCACGCCTTAAGTTCAAGCCTCAGGACTGAGCCTCCCCCGTTCCCCCCCCCCAAAAAAAAAACTGACACTTCGGTTTTTAAGGGCATTATCTTAAAGAATACTTTAGGCACTAAAATCATGGATGTTTAATTTTTCAATGTTTCAATCTCCATTAAAAATGAAAATAGTAGGGGCTGGGAAGGTGGCTCAGTGGTAGCGCGCTTGCCTTGCATGCATGAGGACCTGGTTCGATTCCTCAGCACCACATAAGCAAAAAAAGAAAAAGAAAAAAGCCAGAAGTACCTCAAGTGGTAGAGCGCTAGCCTTGAGCTGAAGAGCTAACGGACAATGCCCAGGCCCAGAGTTCAGGCCCCACAACTGGACCCCCCCCAAAAAAATCAAGATCCTAAAAGCCACAACTTTCAGGGAGAAAAAAAAAGTTGTTAAAAAATCTGTAGGTGGGTAGGCACCAGTAGCTCCTACCTGTAATTCTAGCTATTCAGGAGGCTGAGATCCTGCCAGCCAGGCAGACAGAAGCAGAGCTATATCTGAAGAGGTAGAGCACTAACCTTAAACAAAAAGAAGCCCATGCCCATGCCCTCAGTTCAAGCCCAAGCACCAGCAGCAAAAAAAAAAAAAAAAAAAATTCTAAATGGGTCAGACAGTCAAAATAAGACAACTCAGAGGAGTCTCCAACATTAACAGAGAGAAGAAAAGCACAAGCAAAGGGAAGTCTTAGCACACAGAAACACTCAAAATAGGCTCAGGAATGTTTTAGAAGACTAATAAATGGATGCCTCAATGAATAGAAGACTCAGTTAGGGATCTAGGATACAAGATCAAGAATAAATCCATGTGTAGACCTCAGGAGACAAGTACTGGTGGGCCTCAGCTTCTGTGGAATCCTAGAGTGTCATTGCTTTCACTTGAAAGTCACCTCTATAGATTTTGCTCCTTCTACCATACAAAGAAAACAACAGACAGTATTTCATAGGGTAAAATATAAGGACAAAATAAGATAACGTGTATAAAATGTTTTGAACAGTACATGTCACATTACAATTGCTCCATAGATTCCAGCTACTATCTTCACTCCCAATTCTCTTTTGTATTATGATTCATAGACTGAAGAGTTGATAGATATGAGTCTAAAAAAAAGGAATTAAAGTATGCTAGTTAATTGTCTTAGTTACTTTAAGAAATCCCAATAATAGGGAAAGTGGCTCAGTGGTAGAGTGCTTGCCTTGCATGCATGAGGCCCTGGGTTCAATTCTTCAGCACCACATAAGCAAAAATGGCCAGGAGTGGTGCTGTGGCTCAAGTGGTAGAATGCTCACCTTGAGCTGAAGAGCTGACGAACAGCACCCAGGCCCAGAGTTCAGGCCCCACGACCAAAAAAAAAAATAATAATTCCAATAATAATTTTAGATCTCTAGGTTCTGAACTAACCTGAGAAATGGGAGCTATATATCAAAGTTTAGCAGTGATTCACTCTGGTATAAGGGATCCCATTTTGTGAAGGTTTACAATAAGGTTGCACATGACATTCACCTTCAGATTCTGACTTGATTTCTGGGTAGAGATCCACATCCAATTTATTTTTAGGAGCACCCCAAGAGAATGTAATGCACAGGATGAGCATCCCTGCATCACCTGAGAGCTCATAAATGCAATATCTTGGTGCTAGAGGTGTGGCTCAAGTGGTAGAGTACCTGCTTTACAAACACGTGATCCAAAGTTCAATCCTCAGTATTGTCAGAAAAGAAAAAGTGCAAATCTCAGGCCCTGCTAAGATACCTAATAAATCTTGTCTTTTAACAAACTTTCAGGTGATGATTATGCAGCTTGAGAAATACCGCTCAAGGAATGAAGTAATATATCATCTTCTGGGATGAGAATATATAAAAACTGAATGTCTATGCTATAACCCAAGCAATACAAAGAATTTTAAAGAAA